AAAAACATTTTATTTAGGCCTATCTATGGCCTTCAAAAAGTTGACGACTACATGTTTCGACGTTACAACGTTACAAAAAATAAAATTATATACGTTAAGTATTAGAAATAGATAAAACATACGTGATACGGCAGAAATGAGAACGATGCTCATTGTGTACTGTATGAATAATATTATTATATAAAAACTTAATATTTTAAAGAAGAACAGTGTATTTTGTAATAAGATAAGCTGATTTTTCCACATATAATTAAAATATATATACCCCAGTATACGATCAAATGCTAAAAATGTGTTATTTTTTCTTCCCTGTATAAGCATGAACCCTATCATTCCATGTCGAGCTTTTTTTTTGATCCGTTACTATGTTACGGTATTGCCTAATCAAAAATAAACGTTTGTTTTCTAACCAATAGATTAAATTATAAGAAAAAAACGTATTTATATATAACACGTTACTGTTCTCTCTTGATTCACTAACATTTTTAACTAGTTTTAATATGGAACAAGAATAAAAGTTGTGTTCATTAAACTATTATTTTTACCTGAAATATATGTAACTTTACATAGTTTCAAATGTTATACGCTATTGAGTAACGATATTATACTGAATGGAACACTTGTATTACAAGATGCAAGATTACAGATAGAGGGACAAAACTTTATTGTTGTGTGAAATTTGCAAATGTAATTTAAATTCGTGCAGATTTTGTACATATGTTCGTGTATAACGTTCTGATGAATTATGATTTTGTCTTTAGTTGGATAACGGAGTAAATGATACATTTGCTTCGAAGTTGTAACTTTATACCTGAATCTAAAATCCCTCGTTAGTGTAGGAGAAATATACAGTAAGCAGTTAAAAATGTATATATAAATTTATACCTGAATCTATAATCCCTCGTTAGTGTAGGAGAAATATATAGTAAGCAGTTGAAAATGTATATATATAAATCAGTTGAGAAAAAAATAAACAAACAGCCGTGAAATAAATAATAATAATTAATACAAGAAATCCGGTATATTGTACTAATTTGAAGTTTTTAGTGGATTTTGTTTAAGTGTATCTGTTTAGATATGTGCTCAAAAATCTTTATACGTCTGTCTTATAAAATTTCCTACATAGCCTACATTTCCTACAGTTTTTGGTAAAATCAAAATCCTATTTCATATTTACGACAAGGAAAAATAATCAAAATTACACTTATATGTTTATACACCCGTGTTTCTTACTTTTGCACTCGTTCGAAGAGTAACAAAAACAAGATCAAATTGTGTGCCAAATACATCGCTGCTTAAATCCATTGATCTTAAATCGGGTTATTTGTAAGATCAGAATTCAAAAGAGCAGTTGTTTATACTCCAACTTGGCATGTTATTAATTCAGATACTACAGAAGAAAAATTGGCTTTATTATACAGTTAATAATTAGATCGAATCTGTGTTGAGTTATGTTATACTTGTCGTATTATAACACTACCATCATGATGATTATGAACCTAGTATGCGCTGTATACCTATGAAACATTGTGCATGTTTTCTTCCAGTTCGAGAGCATTGTTGTTTTTTGTGTTCAAACTTACTATTTAATTGCATAAGTGTAAGTAAAAGTTATAATTTAGTGTACAAATCCTTTTTCTGCAATTAAAAAAGTGACAAATGTTTTCATATTGCTTTATAAATAAATAATTTTTTGCAATTATTCTCTAGTGTTGGTAGGACTACTTTCTTTATACTAGAATTGGTTTACCAAATATGATTTCAAAAAAAATATTGAAACTGTAATTTCAAATATAGTTTAATAATTGTCAATTGGTAATAAATTCAAACAACTCTTTGATATTTAACGTTTTTACATCGAAAACTTAAAAAAAAAAAGGAAGAGTAAAATTAAACCATCAAATATGTCCCGAAATAAAATAATCTGACCAAAAAGTGTGAAAAACATCACACGTACAGGAAGATGGGTAAGAAGAGCACATTAATTTTGAATGTGATTTTCACCAAATTAGATGAATGTCATGAAAACAACAAACAAAGGGTTTTATAATGCACCCTTTATTATTATATATGTCATTTCTTGTTAAAACAATAATATGATAGATCGTTTTGAATATTTAAAAATATTTACTTCTTAAGATTAGGGGTCGTTTCACTTATAATGATGGATAAAATGGACTCCCGAAATGGGGCAAAATAGCTCACACATAACTCGCAACCAATTCAATTTAAAATAAATGCTACAATTAGCGACTGCATTTAAATAAATTGAATTATCATTCAAAGGATCCTGGCAGGAATCATTAAGGCCGTGCGCCTTGTGCATTATGTAGGACAATGGCACAGAAGAACGGGGACATCAAACATAAACACAAAATTTACCTGAGTAATATCGTGGGTAAGACGGCCCCAAGAAGGTATCTTACCCAAAACCTCTCATCAAAAGGCAAATCGCACGTTATAAAATATCAATGAGCTTGAACCGTATTTCCTTTATAGTATATACATCTGTCTACAATTCTTCATCACTTGAAATGAACAAAGTGAAATTTACTAAAATATTTACTCTCTAACAATAAAAATTTCAAATCCTTTACCTAGAAAGCAAACAACTGAAGACTCGCTTTGATTATTTAATTCGCGGGTTCACGTAAACAATAGTTACATATAATTTACCCTAGATGGCATCACGTCATAATTGTATATATATATACATATACTAAAGGTCTGGCGATACAGCGATACCATACGATACAATTTATGTATCTTCACGAAATTTGGCAAGCTTTCGGTAAACATTAGAAGTCTCTTGTAAAGAAAAAATCAGAATTTCTAATAAAACATTTTTTCTAAAAAATTAATGATTTAATAATGGAAGATAAGTATTGAGTACTACATGTTGTCTTCATTTCTTTCAGCTTTTTCATTTAATTTCTTTCATGCAAAGTAACATAACAAATTAACAATAACAAAATAGATAGACAGATATTAACTTTTTTATTTTACTTCTCTTGTCATCTGCCATTTAGTTGAGAATTTGAAAAATCACTGTAAAGTGTGAAGTACTTAAATAGGACAATGTTAGTAACATAGATAATGAATTACAGACAAGACTGTCAAACTTTGTAACAAACCGTTGGTAAAACTTCTGTATCTAGGTGCGCATCGTATCGACTACTATGATGAGATACGCACCACTAAGATATATACATATGCATGGTCATTTTACCGAAGGGAACTGACCCTGTATTCTCCCTTGTATTCATATACCGTTTTACAATATTGAAAATAGGAAATAATAATAAATGTTTATTATAATTTTTAATATTTTATTACCAAACAACAATTAAATCAGTAAACTGTTAATCATAAAACACTCGCTTTACCTGTTTCCTTTTTATTAATGCTATTATTTTCATTGTGGTGCCAAATCTTTTTACAGGTGTGAGCTTTTGACCTCTTCCAACTAGTCAGTGTCCATTAAAAATGTCTACGTTTCGTAAACAAATCTTCATGCAATGTCTGTATTAATAATTCTTTTTATCAACTCATTTTGGACATCAACGTAAGCAGAAAACATGATGATGATGGCTTAACAATGATATCTCTAGAATATTAATAAAAAAATAATATTCTCATTTTGGGTTTTAAATAAATTATAAACGCGTCACCAGATGGCAGTGCATTAAAGAACTACGTTAAGTAGTTGTGAGGCCAAACTACAATCAGATCAGTAATCACCAGTACCTTCCTACTTCTTATACAAATAAAAATGAATAAAATCCCTATAACCCAAGCGCTTTCAAAAAAAGGACCTTTCTTCTTCAGGGCAAGCAAATAAGATATCCAAGAGAACAAGCCGTTCCCGTCAGTTTTCACCCATACGCCCTTTTACTATGAGTGTAATCACCAGACTGGACCTGGGAATTGAGCCAAAGAACCTTTGTTTTATAGGGCCATTGCGCTATTCAAGAGTACAAGCCATTCCCCCTCATTTTTCATCTATCTTATCGATCGATTTTTGCACATAAAATGTTAATGTTGAAAGTGTTCTTTCATTGATTCCTAATTGATTCTTTTGATCGAAAAAATTATCCTGAAAAAAAAAAGTTAATAATTGCTCTCATGAAGTACTATGTTGAAACTTATGTTCGATGTGTTAACGGAAACATTGATTTTGCATGGAATAAAGATAAACGAATACTGAATTTTTGTACTAGGGATTAAAAGATATCAACGAGTGTTTCTCTAAGTTCATGAAAGTTTTTCTTAGAAGTTGCCTTAACATCTATCCGTACCAAGTTTTTAGTTTGCTTAAAATCCCAAATTTAAACGATAAACGCTGATACTATAAGATTATTTAGCAATGCAACTTTCTATTGGTCTTCAAAACTATATGAATGAAATAAATTTCATAAATCACTTAATATGACGCCACCTAGTAGTGTAATATAAATCTATTATAATTTCGCTCAGTTCTCGCATTTATGTATCTATAGCATACGAGCCCTTCTAATAACGTGTTATAGAAGTAAAATGCTTTAAAGAGTTATTTCAATCCATTGGGTCTCTTGGTGACCAAAAATATTTTTGTAATAATTTTCCACAAACAAGCGATGTAACTTCAAGTATTATCCAACAATATCAATAGTTTTTGGAAAGCTCTTGCTTAGAAAGGAGGCCTTAGGATGTTCCTAATTTTGGGGTCCTTTTGTAGTTAAAATATCTTCTTGTTGTTTTTCAATCTTTCCCTTCTTAAACAACTAAATAAACATTTCCAATGTTATACTTGTACACTCGTACGCTAAATTATAAAAACTCTCCAATTACGGACGCTACCTTGTGGCAAATATTTTCAGCAAACAGTAATTCCTTGTTTAGCAATCACAAATTGTGAAAATTTCCCCTTTTTTTTACGCTGCTGTAAAAAGAGAGAGAGAGAGAAAACTACAGTTCAGCTGTAGCAATTACTGAACTTTACATATCAAATTAACTTTAGCTCTTCTATTAAACCTTCTGTGTTAAAAGCTACAGAGATTCCACAGTTTAGCATTATGTATAATGTAATAAAAATTGTCCCAGTAATTATAGGCCTATTGGTCTTACATCAGTTGTGGGAAAGTTTTGGAAAGTCTAATAAAAGATGCTTTGCAATGCAAAGTCACTTAACAAAGTTTCGAATTTTATTGGATAGTCAAGATGTTCAAAATATTGCCTTACAAATCTTTTGACATTCTTTGAAAAGGTTACTGTTTATGTAGATGAGGGTAAAGGTGTAGAATTGATGTATCTTGATTTTTAGAAAGCCTTTGACAAGGTGCCACATAAAATGCTTGTAAAAAATTATCTCTTTACGTGTGGGGGATAAGTTAGTTAATTGGATAGAAGAGTGGCTGGATGGAAGAAGTCAGAGGGTTATTATAAATGGAGTTCAGTCAGACTGGATTAATGTCACAAGTGGGGAAACTCAGTGCTCAGTCTTAGGATTACTTTTTGATTTACTTCAATGACACAGATGAAGGAATGGTCAATAAATTACTTAAGTTTGCAGATGATATTAAGGTCTTGGTTGTTGCTAACTATGAAGAGGATGCTGTTGTTTTACAAAAGGATTTAGATCATTTAGTGAGTTTGACAAATAAATGACAAGTGTGTTTTAATTATAATAAATGCAAGATAATGCATGTGGGTTATCATAATTTAAATCATAAGTTTGATTTCGATGGGAATAACCTTAACAGTTTATGTAAGAAAGGAATCTTAGTGTAAAAGATTATCAGTCCCTTAAGCCATCCAAGCAGTGTGCTTGCTGTTGCTAGTGGTAGGGCAAATAGGATTTTTTTGTTGTATCTACAGAAATGTTGAATACAAGTCTAAAGAGGTTATAATTTCATTGTATAGGTCACTGGTTAGGCCATATTTGGAGTATTGTGATCAGTCTTGATGTCCCTAAACATTATGTTAGGTTATATTATGTTATATAAACTAGAGAAACCTCACTTTCTTTTCAAGTGTCCCTGGTGGTTTCAAGTAAATGACTTATTTTCTTCTTCTTAAGATATCTTAGTTTAATAACTTGATTTTTAAACTAACTAAAAAAACTGGTTGTATTAATGAAGAACCTGAAAGACAACAACAAACAAAAAGACTTTCTTTCACATAAAAAATCACAAATGAAAGTATATTTTTCAATGTTTTTAACAGAATAATAATGAAATTTGTCAGAATGTGTGTTGATTACGACCTGAAAACGTTAGTCCAGAGCAGATTAAAAGCGTTTGATGAGTTAGTTTCCTAGAACTGATTGTCACTAAATGTTTACAGCAAAGAAAGAACTATAATAAAAACTATTAGTTTCCTCAGATTGTGTGTTTATTACGACCTGAAAACGTTAGTCCAGAGCAGGTTAAAGTTTGATGAGTTAGTTTACTGGAATTGACTATCACTAAATGTCTACAACAAAGAACTGTAATAAAACCTTTTAGTTTACTCAGACTGTGTTTATTACGGCCTGAAAATGTTAGTGCAGATCAGGTTAAGGTTGGCTGAGTTAGTTTCCTGAAACTGATTGTCACTAAATGTTTACAGCAAAGAAAGAACTGTAATAAAACCTAGTTTGTAATTAGTTTGCTCAGGTTGTGTGTTGATTACGACCTGAAAATGTTAGTGCAGATCAGGTTAACGTTGGCTGAGTTAGTTTCCTGAAACTGATTGTGACATTTACTAAATGTCTATAATAAAGAACTGTAATAAGACCTGAAGCACTTTTGTTGTTTGTTTGATTAGTTTAAAGCAGCCGTGAAGGACTTAAATTACACTAATTAGTTTCATTTTTCTTATAATAACTTCAAAACTTCTAGTATTTTAAGTTTGAAAAGAAAGACTGAAGATGTTTCTGAAAGTAAGATCATGATTTCTTGTTTAATTATTTTCTTATACAATAACCATATAACAAACATGTTTACATTTCACACGGAAAAGCTGAGATATAATTGCTCTTTGACACTTTTTAGAGTATTGATATTTTCTCTTAAAACAGTGAAATGATTTATAAAACGGGTGTAAGATACACGATAAAATGATAAAGGGTTATTCCAGCAATAAAACTGGGATATATGGTAGTAAATGATATATATTTTAAAGTTTACCAAACGAAATATATAAACGTAATAAACTTAATGTACCAGATTAGCTTACTACAATGTTAAGCACTACTCCAACTTACATACTCTCATCAACTTATAGGCTTACAACGCTAAAATATGGTGTTCGATACTTGCGGTAGACACAATTTGCAGTTTTGCGCTTAATAACAAACTATGTAGCGCCCCCATACGAAATGTTATTACGAGTATAATAACTGTTACAGTTCAAAAATGTAGCCCTCTGGTGGCTTAGCAGTACACCTGAGGCTTTTCCCACTAGAAGTCGTGTTTCGATAACCGCAGCGGGCACGGAACAGACAGCTGTACGCTTATAAAAACAACAACAACAACAAAAAATCACGAGTGACAACAAATATTATAAAAGTAAAGTGTTCCATTAAACCTTCTTTTCTTTTGAAAGTGTTTAAAAGAAAATATCCGTAGAAGGAAACCAGAGCTATGGGTAAACATTTTTGTTGCTAATGTTTATTATTTTCATTTTGTACCAACGTTTACTGCCAATATTTTACCCAAAATCAATAGCGTTCAATTTTAGATAAGAAAAACCAAGGATCGCCCCTCCCCTCTTATTTAGAGCTAATCAGACTGAAATGTACCTGAATTAGTTATCGAAGATCAGTGCTTCCATATTAAAACATTTTAAATCCAAACAGCAGCTGCACCCTATATATTAGCATTTCGGAATTTTATTCGTTCTTTTGCTTGTTTGCTGTTAAGCGCAAAACTACACAATGGACTATCTGTGCTGTGCCCATCACGGGTATCAAAACCTGGTTTTTAGCGTTATAAGCCTTCAGACTTACCGGTGAACCGCTGGGGGGTTCATTCGTACTAAATAACAAACACAGTTCACCGAGGATATTTCCACCTTCCAAGACAAATTTATACAAAATTGTATATTCGAAAATTTCAATTTTAACAAATAAAGTATAGATAATACTTCGGAATTTTCAAAAACTTTGGATCATTTGAAATCCGTCAGAAAGATGGGTCAGAGATAAACTGAGATTTTACTTTAAAAGTAATGGATATTTTAACTGTCGATGATTCATTCAATTTTTTTTCATAAAATAAATAATTTGTAAAATGTTTTACGGATGCACTGCCATCTATGATCAACTTTAGTTGTTACGTAATATGCTACGTATTTCCTTCTTAATTTTTTGTTCGGATACTTTTTTTTCACACACCAAAAGCACAGATATCAATACACAGAGTAATGTTTATCAAGAGCTAGAGGTTTAGAAATACGATAGAATAGTGCTACAACATCGAAGCGAGTCATAAAGGACAAGCATAATTTACAAAAGCTGCTTTTGTACAAGTATTTCTTTGTATTTTGTGGAAGACCTTACAAAGAAGAACAAGAATATTTAATTGTTTTAGAAGGGAAAATGCACACTGAAGCAGCACAACCACCATTCTCCACTGAACGTTGTTTTGTTTTATTTTTATATGAAAATAAATATCAAATATTAGTTCATTATTTAACATATTTTATTTCAAATCAAATTTATGTAGCACACCTCTTTAATTATGGTATAAAATTAAACTGAAAGTGTATACTTCCATTTTTGTTGAATATAGGATACTACAGTCTAATCTGATCAGGATGAAGCCGGAGAAGAATCATTACAATTTTGTTTGTCATAAGACACTAGGCCTAATGTTATGATGTTTATACAAAATTACAATGGATTTTCTGAAAGATATTGCCACTTTAACAAGAGTTTTTTTTTAATCAAAAATAAGCCTAACGAATGTTGTGCGATTATTGATTTGTTTAAATCTATGCTTCTCTTTCGCTAAGAATAAGACACTGAATACTTTAGCAGCGTAAGACTAACACAACTAACACTTGAGTCACACACTGAAATACGAAAACCCATATTCATTTGTTTGGATATTAATATCTTAAGTTACTTTAGTACTAATGAACATAATGAATGTTAATTTTATGTTAATATAAAATTCACTTTTACACATTACTGCCAAGGTGTAGATAAAGAAAATAAAAACCTTAATACTATATGATTATTTTAGACCTAGAATAACATTTAAACTCAAGTTATGATGGAAAAAACTACAAAAATAAAAACATAAAAAAATCACAATCCAAAGGCCCAAAATTTGCTTTCGCAAAGGACATTTTATTCTTTTTTTTCCCCCATCCCAGTTCACCCTAGAAAAAGAACCGACTATCTTAGGAAACGTGAGTGGCTCAGGAGGTTTAATTGTTCTTATATGCCATATTTTTAATTAATTATTCAATTGCATTTCATACTTTTTCTGTAAGGCGGGTATATCAACCGATGAGAAAACAACAACTTTCATTTTTCAACTTTCAAAGTTATATTCCACTGAAGTGACCCGATGGTATTTCCAGACCTACATTTAACTGTTCTACTTTGTATTCTTCTTTTCAAACTTCGCGTTTTTAATCTAACGTATTCAGCGAAGTTTTGACCATAATTATCAATAGCAAAAATAGCATGTAATTTATAAAACATGATATACGCGCACTAAATGAGTATTTACAAAGAAAAATATATACGCAACCTAAACAAAGATGTAGGAACAATCTTGATATCTTAGCGTACTTGATCGCTCGCTTAAGCTATCTCATAAATGGACAAAACATTTATAAATACGGTATTTAACGAGTTTTGAAGGTTGAACCATACTTGATATTATCGACACATAAAATCATTAACTTAACAAATGACGGAAACTAAAAGTTGATGTAGATACTCGATCAAACGTACATGACAGAAATAAATCTTTACTTCGGAATTAAAATACACAATTAATATTTTGACAATATAAAAGTCCTCTCAAACCTTACTACTGCGTGGTGTTCCGATTATTAAACTAATTCATGAACCTGACACGTGATTAAAAATATTTCAGGAATTCTCTTGAATTATGTCATTTAAGTTAAAAACAGAGCATCTTCTATTTGGCAGTTTAAAACTTTATTCAGAATTGTTACTGAACCACATAATTAACGACCTGAATGATATGGTAATACTGTAGCGTGGCTAAAGTAACATCGTATTTGATACCTGAATTTTTGGCTTTGGTTGTCGTTATTATTCACATCAGCATACAAACTAGTCGTACTATTTCAAGTCTTATTCTATTTAGGTAAATTTCTTTTCTTTTCTATCATACATTTATTAAATATCCTAAACTGTTTTCTTGCTATCCTGAAATCAAAATAAATTCTCGAGTACAACCCCGCGTTGGGTAGGATACTATAAGGTAGGACTCTATACAAAACGTTGTTGATCATATCCCTGTTAACGTTGTTGAACATATCCCTGCCATGTACGCCTGTCACAGTAATTTGTAGTACCCGAAACAGAACAACAGTAAAAAAACTAAATGATAATTAATCTCAATTAAATGAGGAGTTGAATTACAGGCGTCGTTTTCACAGAAACACATGTGTCCGGAGTAGTCTGATTCACTCATGCACACGTGATCCACAAGAAACAGGTTGATTTGAAGCCTTGCTGTACATGTTCTCTGGATGACTTCGTAAGCTGTAATACATGAAAACTTGTAGAGAACTTTAAATAGTACCACACACACACACAAAAAAAGAATAAAATATAAAATATATAATAATATATTTATACAATCACGTGTTACTGTTATAAACAGAAAAATACAAACTTTCTTTAGATCGCACTTTAAGCTGAGCTGACCAGCAAGTTTCAGTTGATTATGGTGTGGGTTTTGTTCCCTAAAGTGAGCTGATACGTTTTCTGTTCTAGAGTAGGTGTTGTAACTGAAAAACCTTGATGGTGTTTCTAGTTCAACAACGACCTTAACTGAGAGAAAAAAAATGTTTTTTTTTAATCGTCAGCATACTACAGACAAAGACATTTTGGATAAAACTGAAAGTTAAATGACATTTAAAGTGTTTCTCTAGTAAGCTTTTGACTTATCTATTGCAGCTATCTAACTATAATTTTTTTAACACTTCATACACTTGTTGTCCATTCTGGTTCCCTTATTTCGCTGGTACATCATTCATCATCAGAGTACGCCCTCCTCTCTCTCTATATATATATATATATGAACGTTCATTATGACGACATATATTTCATCTCACCTACATTTACATTTTCCCAGGGGTGGTGGCAACCATCCTCACTTAGAGCCTTTGAGGAGACTTCCTACCCAAATCTCGATGCGTGACACATTAAAGATTGGTAGTGAGAATGTGGAGTAATGTAATGTAGGCTAGAAAACAAAATAATTTGATTAGGTTCAAATCTATTTATATAATGTTATTGAGTCTATATGGTAACGTCGGAACATTCTCTAGACAAGAAGCTTCATCCCTGCTCCCCCATTCATCAGCATTTTTACAAACGCAAATAGTCTGGCGGTTAGGGCGCTCGACTCGCAAGCTGCGGGCAACGGGTTCGAATCCTCGTCACGGAACATGCTCGCTTTTACAGCCGTGGGGACGTTATAATGGGACGGCCAATCCCACTATTCGTTGCTAAAGGAGTAGCCTAAGAGTTGGCGGTGGATAGTGTTGACTAGCTGCCTACTCTCTAGTCTATCACTGGTAAATTAGGGACGGCTAGTGCAGATAGCCCTCTAGTAGCTTTGAACGAAACTAAAGACAAGGTAAAGGCAATACAAACACAACTTTTTAGTCAGGAATGCTACTGAGTATTTAATTTGAAGTTGAGTCTACCCCCCCCCCCCCCAATAGTTTTATTTATAATTTTCAGAGTGGTCAACAATGGTATTTTGGGGAAGAAAGTATTATCAATCGAGGGTTTGATTCAAGGAGGAGATCCTCTATTTTTCTCTAAGCAATGTTTTCCTATAATTAAGGGCGAACTTACGATTACACCACTCCTCGTTACAACAAACTTCACGTTTACAATAATTTTCGTGTTTCCGTTCGTTCTGCTTAATAACCCTTCACCCATAACTGCTGGGTTCATCCACTATATTTATTCAGTATCTCCCATATGTTTAATGTATACAAAGACAGAGCTGACAGCAGACGCTAACAAGTTTCGATTGTGACTTTCTGCGAAAGAATTTTATTGATTAATATTCCTTTACGTCGCTTGTTGAAGGAATTTGTAATACACGATAATTATACAGGCAATAATAATGCAAAATTTATGTTTTGGTTTTTTTTATCGATAGAAAAAGTACAGAGGCACTGATTTGTTTTTTTATTTTCTTTTAAAGTAAAGCCACATTGGACTATCTGCTATGTCCACCGAGAGGAATCGAGCCCCGATGTTTAGCATTGTAAGTCCATAAACTCTCCGCTGTCCCACCGGAGGACAGAGGGCACTGAATAGGAAAAATAGAGATAAATATATGATGACAATGAAGAGTAAGGGAAAAAATGTATAAAAATATAATGAACATATGTGTACATAATAAGAAGTCCTAAAACAGTAAAGTTTTAAAACATATACCATATTGCAGGATGGGAAAGAACGGGAAGAACGTTACAAACTAATGGATCGTTTAACTGATGTAATAAAACATGCATCGAGATAACAGACATATCGTTGAAATTAAAAGAAAAAATTACAAGTTAACGTAACAGGAAATGGACGAGAATTGAACAAGAAAGAACGTCCAGGATGTGACTACGTGGAGTAGAAAGAACAAGAATGAAGGCCATAAAACAATGAAAGGGCATAGAAGAAACAAAAATATATTGTCAAGACGAATTTAAGCGGGGCTTTTAAATAATGATGCTCTACTGATTAACCAAATATCTTACACCATGTAACAGGACTTAATATGTCCGATCCTACAGTATGGTGGAGCCGGCAAGGAAAGATTTATAACTGAAACTACATCTAGTTACTACTCCCCCTCCCTCCTGACATATGGTACAGAGAAATGGACTTTGGAATTTTTGTTTAATGTAGCAAAATATAGCAGAGTGCCTTATAAATAATCTTTTCCACCAGGATACAAACCGACCTAAGATAAGCATATAGACAAACACCTAGAACAAGATACATGCCCTATCTTTTAACATGCTCTGCAAGGTAATTAACTAAAGCACATTAAACAGACAGATTAACAGAGTTAAAGTGTCCGCAAGATGTAAAGACAATGCGAATCAACAGAAAAGAGGTTATAGCCTGCTGGAGATGTGAAAAACTGATAAGAGGAATAGTACAAATATTACATCAACTAGAAATGTTCAGTTTGGCCAAAACTGCTGATGGATCGCAACAGACGTACACTTCTTAGACTGATGAAATTTATTATTGCAACTTATTCACAATTAAATTACTGTATCCAATATGGTCACATAGAAGCAGCTACATTCTATAATGCCTGTGGGCGTGCTCTCGTGAGTGCATGATCTTCGGAAGAGAGATGGGATAAATAAGCTTTGTATAATTCCCAGAACCGCTCAGCACTATTTTGCTGGTGTATAGCCCGACAGTATTGGAATCTTGACGAACTGTGGCAAGTTTTGTGAACTGATGAAAACCTCTACGTCCAGTTTCAAACGACTGTAGAATGTAGGTCTGGAAGCAAGCGAGTAATTCGACTGTAATTTGTCGTGTCCACTGCGGAGCATTGTGTGTATTGGCTATGACCTTGCCTATGAAACGGCCACACACACACACACCACCTATATGCGCATTGATGTGGTAGCATTATGTGGTAAGCAGAAGAATGTGTGGTTTCAGCGGGATCATGCTCCCTGCCAAATAGCATTTCGAATACATGCCTGGTTTGAAGGTAACAGTACCATCATATTAGAATATTCCACCTAGAGCCCAGACCTTATCCCTGTGCATCTTTAGGATCGCTTAGAAGGGTTTAACTTGAAAGAGTAAAACCAATCCTTCCAATCATGAGTGAATTGATAATAATCTGAAACAAAGGAACAAACATTTTAGAACCTAGGGGAGAGAGAGAGAGAGAGAGAGAGATTGCATGTCTTGCAGAACAGATAGAATTACTGTGGCCAAGGGCGTTGCTGTACACTGTATTATGATGAGTGTGAGTTAGACTCCTCCCTATGCCTATACATACAGATACTAAGGTTAACTGTACTTTACAAGAATAAGGTTCTAGATCTCGTGCTGCATTTGAATCTAATTCCTCCTTCGTAAGATCTGCTCTGTCAGATGGCCATGGTTAAACATAATTTTTCCTGATAACAAGCTTCTGTGAAGAATACGGAAGTCAATCACATAAAAAAACGATTTTGATAAATATTCCACATTTAACTTCTAAGGCCACGTTTAAGCAGACCAAAGGCGTAAAAATAAATTGAAATTGCATCATGGGAATTGACAGGCATGTGGTCGAATTTGATTACTGTAATTATAATTTCTTCTCTCATATTTCTCATAAAAACAGATACCAATTTCGAGGTGTGGCCGGAAGCTTGTATTTATAAACTTTAAATCGTTGTTTATAATCTTGTTAATCTAATGACGATATTTATATATGACCAGCTCCATTGTTGTGGTTTTTGGGGTCGGAAGGCTCTCTTTTGTAGACTTCATCTTCCAGTTGCGAATGAGGACGTTGTCCAGAATAGTTTTGAATGTGGTTTTAGGAGATCGTTGCTGTCCTAAAAGCTCTGCTTCTCGAATTTAATCATTTCCATGGTGAACACTAAAGGCTTCCTTATTTGAAATGTTGTTCCATGGAGAATGATGAAGGTTTCCTTCTTAGAAATGTTATTCCATGGATAATGGTAAAGGTTTCCTTCTTTGAAATGTTATTCCACAGAGAATGGCAAAAGCTTCCTATTTCGAGATGCTATTCCACAGAGAACGCTGAAGGCTTCCTTCTGAGAAATGTTATTTCACGGTGAAGGGTGAAGGTTTCATTCTTTAAGGTATTATTCCACGGAGAATAGTGAATGTTTCCTTCTTTGAAATGTTATTCCATGGAGAATGGTGAAGATTTCCTTCTTTAAGGTGTTATTCCACGGAGAACGGCCCGGCATGGCCTGGTGGTTAGGGTGCTCGACTCACAGTCTGAGGGTCTCGGGTTCGAATCCCTGTAACACCAAACACGCTCTCCCTTTCAGCCGTGGGGACGTTATAATGTGATGGTCAATCCCACTATTCGTTGGTAAAAGAGTAGCCCAAGAGTTGGCGGTGGGTTGTGATGACTAGTTGCCTTCCCTCTATCTTACACTGCTAAATTAGGGACGGCTAGCGCAGATAGCCCTCGTGTAGCTTTGCGCGAAATTCAAAACAAACAAACAATCCACGGAGAATGGCAAAGGCTTCCTTCTGAGAAATGTTATTCCACGGAGAACGGTGAAGGCTTCCTTCTTCGAGATGTTATTCCACAGAGAACGGTGAAGGCTTCCTTCTTCGAGATGTTATTCTACAGAGAACGGTGAAGGCTTCCTTCTTCGAGATGTTATTCCACAGAGAACGGTGAAGGCTTCCTTCTTCGAGATGTTATTCTACAGAGAACGGTGAAGGCTTCCTTCTTCGAGATGTTATTCCACAGAGAACGGTGAAGGCTTCCTTCTTAGAAATGTTATATCATTTGGCTTTGCATCATCTAACAATCTCACTATACGAATATCCTTCCTTGAATAAGGCTCTCCGTGACTGATCAGTAAGCTAGCAGGCCTATAACGCTAAAATTTGTATACGAACCCGCGGTAGGCACAATACAGATAGCTCATTGTATAGCTTTGTGCTTAGTACCAAACAAACAAATCTTTGGATAGGCTGTGATATACTTCTGTAGCCATAAGTTAATCCGTTGTGGCATATTATTTTGGCACTAAGGCTCGTATATGCGGCAAACACTGCTAAAATAGCATATACAAATAGTATAATTGTTTGTAATTAAGCACAAAGCTACAAAAGAAACCCGGTTTCTGGCGTTGTAAGTCCGCAGACATACCGCTGTGCCACTGGGGAGCCATGATTGAAATCACAATTGTTTTTCACTAATACCTGTTACTTTACTTCACTAGATATTGCGATTTTCTTAAGTGTACATTAGTCTTCACTTTCAGAAAGAACAGTTATATCGAACATGTGTTGTCAATGGTGAAAGGTATGTTTGATGTACTATAGTCCGGAGTCTTCTATTACAACATATTACAGATAGTTTTAATAAAAATTGTTTATGACTCTTGTATTTTGAACAAGTAGCTAAAGTAATATATTTTTTTCCTCTTTCACATTTTAATGGTTGTAATCTTAAGAGTTTGTACATTGCGCATTGTGTTGTATTTTGTTGTTGTTGTTTTTTCTAAATCGAAAATATTCCCTACCCTTTTTTATCAATTTTATTAACACATCCCTAATATAACATGACTCTCCCTCGGATATAAAGTTAAGCAATTTTTTTTTCCTTTTTGTATCGCACTTCCCAAGCACATTAATAAGAACAGTTACCATTCATCACTTGAGACAGAAGTGAGTGCAGCGAACTGTTGTTCCGCTGTAAGACTGATCTTAGTTAGACAGGAAATTTGGCACAAGAGAAACCTATATTTTTCCAGATATCATCCAGCTAGAGGATGTAAGTCAAATTCTCTCTCTCTCCCAAAATAGCATAGTATAAAAGTTTGTAATTTTATCCTGAAATTGAATGCAAAAACACGAAATTTCTTACGAGTATTATGGTCCGTCACTATCTTCACACAACACCCTTCACACTGAAGAAGAGGAGGAAGGTCCCGTTGATGAGCTGTGGCGTTGAAGGGGTCTTTACAACGGGAGTCGTTCTTCGAATCACATTCGTAACACCAAATCTTGGAAACTGCAAACCAGTACGAACGGGTCAAGTTAACCAAATTAACAATTTCTTAAGATTTAAACACCATTTTTTTTAGAAAGTTCACATATTATTCGCCATCATGAAAGTACTTTCCGGAATAGGATTTTTTTTGCAATTGGAATTAATAATAAATCATCGAACGGAGCTCGTTAAAAATATACATAATACACTTAGTGTAAATACTTAAAAATATAATAATTTAAAACTTATATAATCCAGAACAAAAAATTTACGCTTAAATCAATTGCAACAACTGATAACTGTTCGGTGTTTCTAACTAAAACTTTGTAAAATGTACATGTTATATTACTGTAACTCCTTTAACCTTCAAAATGCTGAGTTGTTTTTATACCATTCACTACCGGTGTGGTCTACGTATTTGCATCATACGGTGTAAAAACATGACCAAAAAATAGAAGGTGAAATCACTCATTTTCTACGTGAAATACATAAGGAATGAAGCAGTAACTAGTAGAAATAACTGCAAAATTTATGGTATTTTTTTTTAAACTTTGTCTTATGGTTCATATGTTACCCCCAACCCAATGGCTCAGCGGTAAGCTTGAGGGTTTATAACGCTAAAAAATTGGGGTTCAATACTTGATGAGCATAGCGCAGACAGCCAATTATGTAATTCTGCACATACACACACAAAGACTCGTATGCGTTATTAAGGGCCCTGTAAACCAACAAAGTCATGGACAGAGGAGTACTATGAAGCAAAAATAGCTTATTATCATATCTTGATAATTAATATTATATATCTAAGTGAAAATAAAACTGCGGGATCAGAACTAGAACCCGTGACTTTCAGACAACAAGTACAATACTCTAAACACTGAACTTAATCAAGAGTATAATTGCTACCCACAATTTTAACGTATAAAGTTTCTCGTTACGAGTACGATCCCCATACTACGTTATGATAGGTAAAAGAACCAAAACATAAAAGTCTATCATAGACTTAAAATTATTAATAAAATCCAAAAAGGAAAGAATGAAACAGTAATATCATTATATCGTAATAATTAATATTAAATACCTAATTACAAAAAAAAACAACTCATAAGTAAAAAGAGACTCCAGCACTGGGAGATGAACCCGGAACTTCTGACTAATAATGTCAGTGATCTTTTCAGATTGCAAGTCGAGCGCCCTAATCACCTGGTCATAAAAACTTGACGGAATCGCCTAAGAGGTTCCTGTACACCTATCGCATATTCAGTAATAAAAATTGTTATATTTAGGGGCTGTCCATTATAGGGTACATTTTCGACCTATCCCCCTGCCCATCCACGTCATAACACTTTTGTCCCTAAAGTGATGACACGTTAAGTTGGACCGTCCCTTTGCTTTGTTAAAGAAGTAATAAAAATATTGTACAAAAATTCTCGTTAATTTTACAAGTCAATTCTCTGAGGACCTATCACCTTCGTATGATTATTTCTACAATTTTCGTTTGATATCATAATGGAATAGATATAAAACACATATAGCAGTACAGTGGACTTTGGGTTCGAAATTCAATTAGTACTTGGCCTGCATTCAGATTCAGATTCTTCTTCATCCATCCACTCAAGTTCCTTGGCCCCAGTAAACTAACCTCGAAGGATTCACTTTAGTTCACGTGCCGACAAGTAGCCACGCACATTGGTCAAACGTTTCGGAGAATTGGCTTCTTCACCTGGTGCATTAGCATTGCATGATGACCTTTTCGAAGTGTGAAAAAGGTCACATTGTGGTGTCTTTGGGTGGCTGATTTTGGTAGCACGCATGGATGGTACCGACCATAAGGCATTTGAAGATTATTCTGTTTCATTTCTATTTTATTTTCTTTTTGTTGTTGAGAAATATTTCTGCCCAAATCTTTTCATTCATGAAAATTATTTCCATTTGATATTAGCTAACGTACCCAGTCCAAGAGAGTTTTTTTTTACATAAATTGTTGATTTTTTTCAATTTTTAAGTGATGGTTAAACTCAAATAAGAATAAAATAAAACTTATGAAACAGACATCCGGTCACCAAAATACCTTCTTCTCTCATCCGCGGCCTGGCATAGCCTGTTGGTTTGAACACCGACTTGCAACCTGCTGATCGCAGGATTGGATCCCATTAAGATCATGCTCGCCCTTTCAGTTTTGAGAGCATTATAACGTAACGGCCAATCGCACTGTCGTTGGTAAACAGTAGCCCAAGAATTTCCCTCTAGTCTATCACTTCAAGGCCCGGCATGGCCAGGTGATTAGGGAGCACGACTCGCAATCTGCGGGTCGCGGGTTTGAATCCCTGTCACACCAAACATGCTCGCCCTTTCAGCCGTGGGGGCGTTATAACGTAACGGCCAATCGCACTGTCGTTGCTAAACAGTAGCCCAAGAATTTCCCTCTAGTCTATCACTTCAAGGCCCGGCATGGCCAGGTGATTAGGGAGCACGACTCGCAATCTGCGGGTCGCGGGTTTGAATCCCTGTCACACCAAACATGCTCGCCCTTTCAGCCGTGGGGGCG